GGACCTTGGAGGTCATCTAGTCCATCCCATTGCTCAGGCAGGAAACACTATACCATTTCAGACAAATGGCTGTCCAGTCCCTTCTTAAAAACTTCCAGTGTTGGAGCATTCACCGCTTCTGGAGGCAGGTTGTTCCACTGGTTAATTGTCCTCACTGTCAGGAAGTTTCTCCTTCGTTCTAGGTTGCTTCTCTCCTTGATTAGTTTCCACCCGTTGCTTCTTGTCCTGCCTTCAGGCACTTTGGAGAATAGCTTGACTCCCTCTTCTTTGTGGCAGCCCCTGAGATACTGGAACACGGCTATCATGTCCCCCCTCGTCCTTCTCTTCGTTAAACTAGACATACCCAGTTCCAGCAACTGTTCCTTATATGCTTTAGCTTCCAGTCCCCTAACTGTCCCCTAACTTAACTGTCTCATTTAGAAACGGAAATTTGGGGCTCTGTTGCGGTCGTAAGTCGAGGACTACCTGTTCTACACACCCACACCCGTCTCCCTTTGCGTAACCTTCCCTTCTTCTTGTCTCTGCAGTCGAAAGAAACCTCATCCGTTCTTAGCTGCGATATTTCCACAGACGATCAATTCATCGTCACCGGATCCGGGGACAAGAAGGCGTCTGTTTACGAAGTCATGTACTGACCCGAGTCCCGGCGTTGTTCCAAACTGACCGCAAGAGAAAGGGGCGGCTGTTTTGTGCGCCCCTTCTCGGGTTTGTTTGTTTTTATCCAGCCAAAGAATAAATCCCCTCAACAAGTCCGGGAACGGAACCAGGAACCCGGAACCCACAACGAGGACGCCGGGTGGGTTGTGCGAATGCAGCCCCCTCCGTCTTCCACGCAACCCGATGCGTTTGCGGAGCTTCGCGGTGTCTCTCCCGAGTTCTTATCGTGGCATGGTGGGAACAAGGGTTGGCTCTCTCTCTTTGGTGTGTGTGCGTGTGTGCGTGTGTGAGTGCGCGCAAGTGTGTGTTCACATTGAAATTTCTTGGAAAAGTTTGTTGTGTATTCTAATTTTTTTTTCTTTTTTTAAAGAAAAAGGAAATAACGAACTTTCAATAAAGAGATGATGGTGTTTGGGTTACTTGATCTATCTCGATCTCTTCCGTTTTGCGAGAATCCTTCATGGGTGAAAAAGGGGTGGGGCTGCCCTCGCACGCTGAGGGGGGGGCGGGCGCTGGCGCCATCTTGACTTGATTGACCTACCCCGGGCCTTTGTGCAACTCTGAAAAACACCTTAGTTTTTCTAAGCGTGTTCAGAGTGCAGAAGAACTGAAACATTTCAGGAAGTCGAGGACAGAGGGAGGTAAGACGGAATAGCAATAGGGACAAGATTTTAGTCTCTCTCTTTTTTTTTAATGCCTCTAGTGCTTGGGAACACGATTGTGGATCCTGGAGGGTTGTGGGAAACTTAGAAAGCTGTTTCTCTTAAGTTGTGGAAGGATACAAATGTTCAGGTAAGGAATTTGCCGGATTGCAAATGTTTATGACTTAAATTGTGGAAAATCCAATTAAAAGATTTATTGAAAGGCCCTGACTGGATGCCCACAATACACAGAGCCAAAATTAAAAACTTTACAGATCCTGTATACCATACAGGTAGTCCTCAATTTGTGACTAGTCACTATCTACCTACTTCTACCTATAGCGCTCTCTCTCTCTCTCTCTCTCTCTCTCTCTCTCTCTCTGTCTATCTATCTTATCTATCTACTGCATATCGATCTGTCGATCTTATCTATATCTATCTACCTAATCTACCTATCTATATCTATCATCTATCTATATCATCTATCATCTCTACCTGTTTATCTACCTACCTACCTATCATCTATCTATCTATCTATCTATCTATCTATCTATCTATCTATCTATCTATCTATATCATCTATATCATCTCTACCTATTTTTATAGCTACCTATCATCAATCTATCACCTATATCTTATCTATATCTTCTATCTCTATAGGTACCTATCATCTATCAATCAATCATCTATACTGTATATCATCTATATCTTATCTATCTATATCTTCTATCATCTCTACCTATTTATCTATAGCTACCTATTTAACTATAGCTACCTATCATCAATCAATCAATCTATCATCTATCTATCTTTATCTATCTGTCATCTATCCATCTATCTTGGACTAGAATACTTCCAAAGTCCCTTCCACTCTATTACTGTTAATCTGTTATCTATAAATTTGAAAAACATGAAAAATCAACAAAGTAAATAGAAAAAAGGACCAAAAGCAAGATAAAAGGGCAGAGAGGGGAAAAAAGGAATGGCTTCCAGACTTTGTTTTTCTTACAGATAATAGATTAAAAACACACATCTGACTCTAACATTAACAAGTGTCTCCATTACTTCCATAAACCCATGTCATTCTAATCCTAAAATCCCCAAATCAAAGTTTTGTTTCTCTCCGCTTCTCATAAATAGTCCAGGAAATTGGAAGCCACTTCCAATTAGAATTGTTGATTAGCTGGGGTTGGACTTTTTCCCACATGCTCCAGTACAACTTCTTTTGTCTGGTTCAGGAGACAGGGATTCCCCAACCAGCGTTAATGGACTTCAACTCCCAGAATCCCCCAACTAGCATTCTGCCCGGGGAATTCTGGGAATTGAAGTCCACACATCTTCAAGTTGCCAATGCTGGGTATTATTCTAATACATCATTTATTTATTTTATTTATTATTTATATTTATATCCCGCCCTTCTCCTTGCGGACTCAGGGCGGCTAACAACCAGATAAAAATGCAACTCCCCAAAACTACAGATTTAAAAACATAATTAAAAACAAATATTAATAATTGGTCTAATAGTTTAAAATTACTTTAAAACCCCCATTAAAAATTTTCCCCTAGGCCAGTCCCGCAAGCTGGAATAACCAAGTCTTAAGGGCGCGGCGGAAGGAAGGGAGATCAGGGATCACCCTGATCTC